AGCACCTCCCTTTTGCAAACAGTTTTCATTGCCATCTAGATAAACTACTTCCCTCATGCTTCTGAGGCCACTCAAAACTGCCTGCATCTACTCCTACCTTTGAATTTGTCCACAACTGTTCTATTAATGGTCTTTGTAACTTGCCAGAGTGGTTTCTGCACCCACCTCCTCAGCAAAATCTTTATCAGTCAGGGTGGAGTTACGCTCCCCTCTCACCTGTCTACACTGCAGAGGGTGGTGCCCTTTGTACCCCTCCCCCGTGGCTTCAGCCCTTACCCTGCACTTATTAGCATGTTATAAAAATGCAACAGCAGCTCCCAAACCTATCTGTGCATCAGAATCATCCTATGCTGGTATTGGTAGACCTGGAACTATGGAGTCAGAATTTCTGGAAGATGGTCTAGAAATGTAGGATTTCAATAAATCTACAAATGCTGCCAGGTTTGGGAGTCAATGAAGTATGACTTTAGTTGGTTTCTATTATGCTTTTGTGTTCCCAATGGGGATCTGCATCCAACTAACTGCATGGGGTATGTTTAAGCAGGATAATCACTTATCTGCAAACATATTTGATAATGTTTGTTAAAATCCATGTACTAGCCCAGGCAAATCTACCAAATCTGATTCTGGGAGGTATGGCCAGGGAATTTAAACTTAAGAGAGTCCCATATAAGAGATTCCCCTGCAGAGAAAAGCCAGTGCCCTTTGAGGGTCTGCTGAGATGCCCACAGAGACCAGCCAAGTCACCTCTGAGCCAGGCAGACTGGGTGCGAGGAATGGCTAAAGGGAAACTGGTCATCCATGTGGAAAGGTAGGCATTTCTCTGCCTGAACAGTTTGTTGTTATTTTGCCGTAACAGAAAATGACTCAGTACAGTTTGAATTTTTGGAAACTAAAAGTAAAGAGAAATTTAATTCCTCACAGTTCTGACGCACTGTGACCACTGTCTCTGAGAGTTTCTCCCATGTATCCAGGGTCTGTGGCAATTTGCAATGTCATGTGCCATTAAGAACCTGACCAAGTTACTCCTTACGATGGATTACACAGTGTAATTGAATTAGAGATACAAAGTCCCACTGGTCATCCAAGCCACTCCTACCATTTAATGCTTGAATTCTCTGCCAAGCACTGACGATGCCCAAACCACTTCATCTCTCATCCAGATTTGCCCGCACTGCACATGTCCAAATATATTTTGGCTACCTCCACTAGGATATCCTACCAATACCCCAATGCGACATGTTCCCAAATAAAATTGTCTTCTTCTAGTCTCCTCCCTTCATGTGGTTTCTAGTTGTCTCAGTAACAGCAATTCTAACCACTGAAGCCAGAAACATGGTGTCCACCTTAATCCTCTGCCTTGCCTTTTAAACGCCGACATTGGGTCATCAACCAAGTTTTTGCAAAGTCTGCCACCAACAGTATGAAACTTGCAAGTCACCCCCATTCTAAGCAAGTTTTGCACACCACATTACACTAATTTATAACCAGTCAACTTGATTTTACAAGGAAAATCTTGCTCTTTTTCTATGCAATAAGGCCCAGCTAACCTTTCCTCTGGCTGAGGGTGGAGCTGACTTGGAAGATCATATTAAAAATGGAATTCTCATCTTAGAAAAGAGTCAGTACACTCGCATGAAGCTCAGAATCATGGAACTAGCCTTGGTAGTCGCAGGGAGGGGAGTCTGAACTTTAGCAAGGGATGCAGTAGGCTCCCCACTTCATGTACAAAGGTAGGAGACTGAAAGCAATGGATATGTGCAGTCATGCTCTCCAGGTCCTCCGTGTAAGACTTCCTATCACAGGCATCTCTTGCGGTCCACATATGGATCTGGAGAAAAATCTCATCAAAACAAAAACCCTAGCAGCAGTTGAGACCAGCAGGGAACATGGGCTGTACTCCTAGCACTCAAAACTCCTCAGCCGGTTCTCTTCTAATGTTAAAGCAACTACAGGTGAGAAGACGAAGATTCAACAATCATCTGTAACAGGCAAAGAACCTGAGTTGGAAACTTTCAGTTCTTTCACACAGTACATCAAACATCCACAGATTTCATCTTTTTGGCATACTCAAAGAAAAGCTGTACAATTTAACCAGAAAGTTGTGCAAAAAGTAATTATTAGGTTCTCAGATACCTAGTAAAGTCAAATTACCCTCACAATACTACAAAAAGAGGGAACACGTATTTATTAAACACAACAAAAGTGGACTTTCGGGGTCAAAACTGAGTACTTTCTTTAACAATAAAACATATATAAGAACATTTCAGTAAAATGTAAAACAAACATTTTTCTCCCCCAATTTTCAATAGTATTTTTCTAATGCCTCTAGGAAGAGAGACAAAAACCAAGAAAGCAAAGACCTGCTAGTCTGTAACTGAAGATTCAGAAAGAAAAACTTGCCTATTAGTTATCATTTCACTCAAAGGAGTGTAAAATGCAAAAGCAAACACATCAATTTATTCATTAGTAGTCAAGTGAAGAGGTAAACTATTTACCTCCCAGTATTTTTCCAGATATCTAGGACAGATGATGTATAAGGAAAGAAATTCTTTAAAATGTAAAATCTAAAAGAGACACCCAATAGAAATAAGTGAAAGCAATTCACAGTGACACTAAAAATAATCAATCTGCAGTATCTGTGCTCAGTAACACAGGAGTATCAAGGCACCTTTCAGATCTTATCACTTTACCAAATCCACATAGATCTTCTTTGTAGTACAATTTTTCACAAACTGTGGAATATTTTTTGACACAAGAAACAAAGTCTAGGTCCCCCAGTACACTGGTTCTTGTAGCTCTCTGGTTAGGGAGATCTAAGCATGTATGAAGATGAGTGAAAGTAGTCTATGTTGCTAGCATTTTCACTGCCAGTCTTTGTGTCTATCTGCAGAATCTTTCAGCACATACATCAGAAGTCAGACAATGCCAGTTCTTTTGATACTAGGTCTCAGGGTGCAGCTTTCAAAATCAGCCTTTGTTCCACTCTTCCTGTATTGGCAAACTGCACCCAGCAGGTGTCTATACACTGAATTTCAAATATGACCTTTTAATATGCCCAAAACTGTTGCTGTAAAGGAGGGGGAAATCATATTAATTGAATCCTGGCCCACTGTTACTCAGAATGCCATGACTGTATTTTCTGTATGGTAAAATGACATGAAATGATTTGTAAAACCATGTGAAATCTTCGGGTGACTAAGCCTACAAGTTTTAGATCACATTTTAATTGTTATTAAAAGCAATTATTTTCTCATAACAATCCTGGAACAAAAACTATAGGGAGTATATGTCAACAATTAAAAAATGAGGCTAAGCTTGATATAGTGATATAGCTAAGCTTGATTACACACCTATAATCCCAACACTCAGGAGGCTGAAGCAGGAGGATTGCTGTGAATTTAAGGCCAGCCTGGACTACATAGGAGACCTTGTCTCAAAAAATAAAATAAAATAATGTTATAAGCTTTTCTTTCATTTACTCTGGTCTTCCTGTTGGAACACTGACAATCATGTGAAACATTATTATATCTCTAGATTCCTCAAGTTTTACTATTTGTCATTTTCTTTAAAATATTTTTCTTCCAAATGTTTTTGGGAACGTTACTGTTATTCCAGCTTTACTGCTGTCATATGAAGACAATAATAATAATAGCTACCCTCACAGGGTTGCTTCAGGGACTCATTATGTCATCCACAGTAAGGATATAGACTTTATGGCACATTACTTATTGAGTGCTCAAAACATGTTGGCTATTATTTATACACAAAATTATCAGCAATTATAATAAGGTTATCAGAAGTCCATTTTAAGAATGTCAATTTGGTTTAGGCCTTTTCAGTAAACCAGGATAGTTCTTCCAAAAACTGAAGATTCCACCATTTACATATGCTGATCCATTTCCCTGAAATGCTCTTTCTCCTCTTACCCCTAACTCGGAGCCTCCTTACCTGGCGAATCCTTCATCTTAGATTTTGGCTTTTACTCAGCACCTTTCCAGGGGCAAGCAGCCCCTGGCAGCTCCCATGTCTACATTATATTGCATACATATTAGGATACTCTTTCTGCATGCTCCAATCCATATCATGATAATCTGCTTCTTTATCCTCATTCCCCTGACACCTCATGAGGGCAAGAATCATGTCTATCTTTCAATACAGGTAAGCATAATGCCAGAACATAACACGTGCTCAATGATTGTATGTTGTTAATATGCAGTATCTGGGATCAGCATGATGGAGGCTGGAATAAGAGATACAATACAGTGACAGTGACCACTGTTAACCTGAGAGAAAGACAGAGAGAGAGAGGGAGAGAGAGAATATGAATGAATGAATGAATGAATGAATGAAAGGAAGGAAGGAAGGAAGAAGGAAGAAGGAAGGCAGGCAGGCAGGAAGGAAGGAAGGAAGGAAGGAAGGAAGGAAAGAAGGAAAGAAGGAAGGAACAAAGGAAGGAAGGAAAGGAAGGAAGGAAAGAAAGAAGGAAGGACAGAAGGAAGGACAGAAGGAAGGAAGGAAGGACAGAAGGAAGGAAGGAAGGAAGGACAGAAGGAAGGAAGGAAGGAAGGAAGGACAGAAGGAAGGAAGGAAGGAAGGAAGAAAGAAAAAAGGAAAGGATAAATAAATGAATAGGAGGTTATAGGGCCAGCTCAGGATGAGGATAGCAAAGTGGGAGGGATACGGCATCCTAAGAGGGTGGAGCAGAAGCAGAGGGAGGGGCAATCAGCTCTGGAGAAAATCAGGTTCCACTTCGTTACTTAGAGTAATCAGAGCCACCCTATAGCAGATGCACTGATATTTGGATATCCAGCACACTGCAGCAGAAGCCATGTGAGCCTTTGTTCATTCAACAGACAGTGGGACTTAGAAACCAGCACAACTCTCAGGTCCTAGTCTAAGCTTTTCAACCAGAGTATTTAACAACCAAAGCCAAGTTAGGGACCTCTGCTGGGCAGAGTTAGAGTCCTGTGTGACCCATGGACCCCCCAAAAACTTACCAGACAGTTGGGATGTGCTGTGCATGTCTGGTTCAGCACCAAGCTGCTGTGCTGGGGAAGAAACTTTGACACTTTAGGTACAGCTGATGGTAAATGAACTGGAATGTTCTGATTTGTTACAGTAGCTTCATCATAGGAAGGGACAACTTTAGAGTAATATCTGACAGCATGGAAGGAGTTGAGAGAGAGGGCTGAACTGGGAATTCGAGTTTTATACAGATCACCAATAGCGCTCTCTGAAGTGGAACTTGACTGACCTTTAATAAGAAAGAAAACAAATATCTGTCAGTGCTCTATGCAGAATTCTGTATCTCTGGACTACTACATTTGAAATAAATAGTCCTCTTTCATTTCCTAATGTTACACATTTGTACTACATTACATTCAAATAAATGCTGATGGAAAAACAAAATGAATATTACAGAAGGAACATTTAATGCAGTGTGCACATTATAAATCAGTGTTCGTGTGCTATGAAAAGAAATTTTTAGAGAAGCAGAGGATCTCTGTGCCTTCTGAGGTGTGTTCGTGTATCTGGATTCCACCATAATCAAAACTGGCCATCCCTAAGATGCAAAGAAAAACATGGGAAAGAACAATGCCATTCAGCCATCAATAAAGTTAGGTTGATTTTACACTATCTCATTATATATCTATACATATCAATATATCTATATTTTGAACAGTAATTAGAAGATATTATTCATTTATAATCTCAGCAATGTAATCTCAACACCGAAATTTTCTTTATTATTTCACAATAATAAAAGTGAAATAATCTAATTTTACACCTACTTTAAATACAAATGTACCTGGAATGTTTGTGAAAAACTGTTAGAGCAAATGTACCTAGGGCTTTATGGAAAAGAATAGACTAGGAAAGCTAATGAACATGGCCATGTTACAGGCCAAGTACCATCATGTGGGTGTTCTGTATCTGTGGGAAACCATGGAACCCTGGGGGAGAGCTCACTTAACGTATATAGCCTCTAATTTCCTCACCTAGATGGTCAGGAAAATATACGTTTACATTTTCTATTTTCTATCTGATGCATCCTTCACCTCCAGAAATAAAACCCAAGAAGTCCAAATTACAGAAAGCCTTACACTGGAGAAGTATGTCCTATCACCTGATTTTTAAAATCTTTCTTTCCCCAAACTGAAAATGCTAAATGTAGCAACTGAAAGATGGCTAAGAAAACTGTTTCATAAATTGTTTGCTAAATTAATAAAACCATCAAAATAGTGATGAGGACAATATAACAACACATTAAAATACAATGGCACAAAGTTAAGTTTAAAGAAAGTCCAAAATGATTGCCACTACTGAATACATCCCTGGAAAAGGACTTGAAGGAAATACATACAAAATAAAGTAATGAGCACAGCTAGGTCAGCAAAAGACTCTGACCTTCCAGGTCTCCTCTGGTTCGAACATACCATAAGTCAATAGTCCCCATATATTTGTGTCCTCCAAAGAGTGGTCTCTTCGGGTAATTTGATGCCATGAGATACGGGGACACAGATGAGCCTGAATCACCACCATAAAAACAGTGCTTCAGCTTTTCTGCAGAATATAGGCAGTGCTGTATGTATATGAAATAACAGTGACAGGCATATGCCCATGGCCTGACCTCAATCTGATTTAATCTGGGCTGACCTAATCATTTCATGTCACATTCAGGCACAGCTACTTTAAGTAGTTTAACCGTGGCTCATGGCAATTTTCTTTCCGTATTTTTCTCCTCTCTCCCCTAGGTCAGAAGAAAAGTCTAGATTGACTAACAAAATCCTGAGGCTCATTTGCTTGTATGAACAAGAAGGCTGTATTCTATTTTTGGCCCTTTCTCTTTTGACTTGAGACACTAACCCTAGAAACCTCATTTGTTCCCGTGGCTCCCATTATAATCCACACATGTGCATGGTACCTCTAGTCTGACACTTAAAATACCAGGGAACCACAGTTTGCATTTGCAGTGCTCTTTGCCACTTATACGTGAACACCATGAGAATGAAGTTGACATAACAGGAGAAGAGAAAATAAATAAAACACACAAATAAAGAATATTAGCAGGTGGTAAGTGCCCAGAAGACAAATCTAGCAGAGATAGTGGGTAAAAAAATCTCTTGCATTGTGTGTAGAGAGGAGGAGTGTGTAGTTTTATCTGGGTGGGTGAGAATGACTCACTGAGAAGGCAACATTTAAACAAAGATGTCAATATACTTCGACTTTTAGATTTGACCCAAAGAGGCTCCAGTAGATCTCAAGTCTTCTCAGTGTTTTAAAAGCCTGAAACCTAAGATGAATCCCAAGGGTAGATAATTAGCTTTTCTGGTTCTGTGTAGTATGGATGACATCAATACATTTAAACAAAGACGAAAAAGAGAAATAAATTAATACAGTAAATGCTCAGTACACAGTCAGTTCTAAATTAATGTGAATAAAATCAGCTTTCCGTAAATATGAGAACGTCATCTGGGAGTTCCTATGGATCAAAATAAACTTCTTTGAAAAGCTGCATCTATTCTGATGCACAGACTGTTTTCTTGTCATCACTCCCTAAGCAATATAATGTAAGAACTACTCACACAGCATTTAGATTATATCAGATATTATAAATCATTCAGAGAAGATTTAAAGTGTATGGAAGGATATGGATAGGTTATATGCAAATACTATGTCATTTTATTTAAGAGACTTGAACATTCATAGATTTTGGTATTCTCAGGGGATCCCAAAACAAATCTCCCATGGATTTGGAGGGACAACTGTATACACCCTCCCTTTAGGTTCTATTTTATAAATAAATGGACAGACAGACAGATACCAGTGTGCTTATCATCTACTAGCATGATGATGCTTCTGGTAATTAAGGTCTATCTTGAGCCTAACTTCTGGGAAAGAGCTATTTAAATGCCCTGGGCCACCTTATACTTTAAGCTGCCAATACAAGGGAACTCCTCCATCCTCTAGTCAGGGCAGCACATGCACAGGAGCCAAGGGGTACAACAGGGAATCCGTGAAGGCCCAGCACCTACAAACAACAGAGCTATAGGCGGGTCTCACCTCTCACAGCTTCATCCACGGGGCTCCCTGCGGCAGGAAGGGAGAACACATTCAAGCACTTATTGGCCAGGAACTGGAGCCCTCTCACAGGTGAGTAAGTGCCTGCCAGCACGCTGTTCTCCCTTAAAAGGACCAAAAGCAAACAACAAAATAAAACGCAGAGACACAAAAACATCTTGCACATTTCTCCAGGAAGACAATATAAATACTACTGAACTGAAATGCTCTTTTAATCAGTCCAATTCTAGAAAACCTTGACAGAGCCTCAACTATGGATTATTTAAACATGGGAACAAAGAGTTGCACGGGGCCAGGGTCATTCCTGAGGAATGATTGGCTTTTCCTACAAAGTTTCTGTTTGTTTACATAAATCTAATAAAGGCTGTTCCTAACTGACTGGCTTTTAAATAAACCTAAGCAATCATTTGGCATGTTACGTTTCATATTAGTAAGTTTCTTTCAGGGCTGGTAAGTGAAACAGGGCGAGATTTTCTAGGGCCCAGACCTCCTGGACAGAGGAGCACTAGACTCTATAATGTCCCTGCTGGACTGCCACAGCCACAGCCACTGTGAGGAAACGCAAAAGCTCCACTGTACTATCTTTAGGAATAACAAAAAGAAGAGTGAGTCAAATGATGAAAGGACCACCATAGCCCTGAAAATATTAATGATATCTCTTTATCACTGTAATAAAATGATATACACCAGCAACGGGAAAAGTTCACTGATCATTAATAAATACCTAAGCTTTCATGTGGATAGGCTCAGTTACTATCTACACCTATGGTACCAGCATGGGAGGAAAATAACAAGCAGTCTTTGGATTCACTAGAGCCCTGATCATACCTTTCCGCCTTAACTGTGCATGGGAGCGATAGCTGGATAGGCGTTTGTTTCTTACAAAACCTCCTATTACTCTGAAGAGCTTCTGTAATCTAAAAAATATAGATACAAGCATATAAAAACATTTAAATAGATATATTTTTCACATACACAAAGATATATACATTTCCAGTTTAAAAAAAAGAAATAAAAATATAACATAGAACCATTGCTTATAAGGATAAAATTCAAACCTTGGGAGTTGACTACCTGGCTCATGACAGCTGGAGGGATTTTCTCCCGGACATACTTCACATAATCAACTGTTGCCTCAAGAATGGAAGCCGAGTCATTCTTTCTCCCCTTGCTATACGGCAAGAGAATGCGCAGCTGCTCACAGCAATACTTGATTCGTTCTCTGATCAAAGGATTGTAATAAAGAAGGAATAATTAGTCTCATTTTATTCATGTGAACAAAGACAATCTTTTTCTATTGAGTTTGTTTGTAAAGGAACTGCCCACATCTTTCCCCAGCTAGTCTCTATTTCAAGGAAAGACTGTATCCTCCAAAGCCAGCAGCCCTCACAAACTTCCAAGCCACCCACTCATATGCTTCACAAGAAACCACTGCCAAGATACAATGTCTGTGTGGACAGCAACCCCAGCTTCGTCAGCCCACACCTGCCACAGTGCACAGGTGCCCATAACTGGGAAAGAACATACACCTTCCTTGTCTGTGGATACCAACGTTCTCCCCTCTGAGCAAAGAATTACACACATGCACACACAATTTATACTAGAAACCTAGCAGGCAAGAAACAGGATCTTCATGTCACTGGGACTGAAACACATTTCCAACTAACACATCAATTAGCATCTCATAATAACGTGATTATGTGGCCTCCGCCAAAAGAATGAGAAGACTGCTTCCTTTCCAAGAGGTGGGTGTAAACAGAACAAATGAATTAATATGGAAACAGAAAGAACATCCGGGCCAGTGTCAGGATGAAACTAAAGCTTTCATGGATCTGGTAGTCTGAAAAGAAATTTATAGAAGATGTAGATTTGATTAATTTAAGCTTTTAGTGCCTTTGTTCACACACGTGTTTATTTAAGAGACATTAAATACCAGTTGTGTGTTAAATATGGTGTAGATATATAACAGAACTACTAATTACTAGCTGGGACCCTATGCAAGACACTTAACTCTCTGGACCTTGAAATGACAGAAAAAATAAATAAAAATCAAGTTTGATATATTTCAATGTTAAAATATTCTAGATAAGTGGTATTTTCATCAGGCTTTGGGATCTCTGAGGATTCCTTAGAGGTGTCTCAGGAACTATTCTGAAAACAAAAAGATGGAAGAATCAACAATTTGATAATGAATATGAAGGGCTTTGAAAGTGTTCATACCCTTTAACAAGGTAACTTCCATTTACAAAGATTTACTCTAAAGAGACAATCTAAAACACAGAGAAAATTTCACATAAAGCTATCCATTATAGCTGTACATAAATAAAATATGGAAAACAAGCTAAACAAACAACACATAGGAGGATACCTGAAGTAAACTATGGTATATTTATTCTGTAAAATATCATCTGGCAGTGGAAGTGATATGTTATAAAGCTTATTGAGGGAAAACAGGGTATAAGGCAGCATCTAAAATATTGTCTTAAGCATTACACAAAGCAAAAATGAAACACAAAAACAGTAAAATCAAAACCATCCAGTAATAGTTATTCCTGGGTGGTTGTCTATGGGTAACATTTTGTCCTTTTATCTTCTACATTTTCCAAATATTTCTGGACAAACAACTGTGTAACAGAAACCCTAATCGACATTGTCAAAACCCTAGAATGTTCCTTATACTCTTTGCGAGTCATCACCATCTCCAGACCCATATTTTTTCTGCACACATTATTTTGCATATTCTTAAAGAGCACATGAGGGGGCTGGGGATTTAGCTCAGCGGCACAGCGCTTGCCTGGCAAGCACAAGGTCATGAGAAAGTTCAATTCCTGGTACCAGAAATAAATTAATTAATTAATTAATTAAAGAGCACATGAATCATTTCTTACAACTGTGGAAGGGCTTGTTTCACTCAATATAATGCTTTTGACATTTCTCTATTTGGCTTTGTATACCAGATCCTTATTACTTTATATGCCACTGTATAAATATTCCATAACTTATTTATCTATTCCTTTACTGATAAACACTTAGATTGTTCCAAGTTTTTGGTCATTATAAATAAAGCTGCTAGAATATTCCAGACATCTTCTAGTGAATGTGTTATTTCTCTTGGATAATTATCCAGGAATAAAATGATGGATCATTTTATAAGTTTATAAAAACTACAAGAATTTCTATCAAGTAGTACCATTTTCTGCTCTCAACCATCAATATATAAAAGTTGTTTCAAATAAAATTTTGGGTTGGTTTGGTGCTGGGATTGAGCCCAGAGCCTTTGTTCTGAGGTAGAATCCCATCCCTTTTTAGTGTGCGTGTGTGTGTGTGTGTGTGTGTGTGTGTGTGTGGACGACAAAACTGCCCACACTGGCCTCAAACTTTCTTTTTCTTTTTATTTTAAGAATAAAAGGAGGGGGGCTGGGGATTTAGCTCAGC